GCCCAGGCTGGTCTCAAACTCCTGGGCTTAAGCGATCTTCCCACCTTGGCCTCCCAAAGTGTTGAGATTATGGGTGTGAGCCACTGCACGCAGCCTAATTTTTAATTTTTATGGGCCATAGTAGGTGTATATATTTACAGGGGACATGAGATATTTTGGTACAGGCATACAGTGTGTAATAATCCCATCAAGGTAAATGAGGTGTCCATCACCTCAAGCATTTATCATTTCTTTGCATTACAAACACTCCAACTATATTCTTTTAGTTTTTGTTAAATGTATAATAAATTACTGTTGACTGTAGTCACCCTGTTGTGCTATCAAATACTAGATCTTATTCATTCTATCTAACCATATTTTTGTACCCATTAACCATCCCCACTTTTCCCCTGCCTTCCCCACTAACTACCCTTCCTAGCTTCTGGTAACCATCATTGTACTTTCTGACAACTTTTCTGGAAATCTAAATATATTCCAAAATAAAAAGTTCATTTTAAAAAAAGAGGTAGAAGACAAAGAGAGCGGAGACTACACAATATGGTGATTTTGAGACTACGAACTCTTCCCACTACCGCCCTGCAGAAAGGTCATGTGAACATCTGCAAACATCCTGCTAAAGTTAGACTGGACTTCCAAGGAAGTGAGGGGGGTCCCCAGGGGCCAGAAACCAAGATAGAGATAGAGAGTAAAGCAAGCATATTGCTCCAGAGCCCTGAGTAGGGCATCAGCCTCCATAATGCCTGGACTGGGGTTTTAACACCTGCACGGGATAGGAGGTGAAGTCAGAGCTATCTGAAGCAGGAAATTGAAACTCGAACCCTTTCTTAGTGCAGAAACTCATGTAGAGTTTCATCTTCAGTGGAAGGGAAACTAGGGGGAAAAAAATCCTCCTACGGTCAGAGAGAGATGACAAAGAAGTTTACTTCATTCTAAACTCAGGGGAGAAAGTGCTAGACTTCCCTTCTGCAGACTTCTTCAGTGAGGTCCATGTCGTTAAATTTAAACACAATGTTAAAGCAATGTCTTCAGTACTTTTAAGCCATGGGCTAGGATTAGTAATACATTTTAACTCTAAAATTAGACAAATGGCCCACACTATACTTCTCATTAGTTGCGGGGGCTGTGTCTTAATTTTTGTTAAAGAAAATAGGAACAGGCTAAGAAATGTGAATGTTTGCTGTGATGTTTCATGTTGCTGTGCTGTGGGGTTATTTTACATTTTTGGAGTCCTGCCTTCCATCTGGGGAAGGGTTTCTCAATCCTGGCACTTCTGACATTTTGGGTTGGATCATTCTTCGTTGTGGGGAGTTGTTCAATATAGGATGTTTAGCAGCATTCCTGGCCTCTACCCATTAGATGCCATTAGTACCACCACTTCCAGTGGTGATAACCAAAAATGTCTCCAGACATTGTCCAATGTCTCCTGGCAAGGGGCAGGGATAAAATTCCCCCTCACGGTTCGAGAGTGACCAACCAATTTCAGTTTGTTGGGAACTGTGAGGGTACCGAGGATGTGGGACTCTCAGGGTTATTGTTGTTGTTGTTATTTTGAGTCAGGCTCTTGCTCTATCATCCAGGCTGGATGGAGTGCAATGGCGTGATCATGGCTCACTGCAATTTTGACCTTCCGTACTCAATCGATCCTCCCACCTCAGAGTAGCTAGGACTACAGGCACACTCCACCACTCTTGGCTAATTTTTGTATTTTTTATAGAGACGGGGTTTTACTGTGTTGCCCAGTCTAGTCTCGAACTCCTGGACTCAAGCAATCCACCCACCTCGGCCTCCCAAAGTGTTGATATTGAAGGCATGAGCCACCACACTCAGCCAAGACTCTTGATTTTAAAACTGGGATGGTCCTGGGCACACTAGGATGGCTTGGTCACCCTACTTTCATCTCTAATATGAGTATTTAGGGTGCCAAGTAATTTTAGGACAGGTGGGAGTGAGAAAAGTGGTTTATCACCAGCAAATACTGAGTCATCCCAGTCACTCCTGGACAAACTTATCCAAGTTCTCACGGATGAGCGTCCTTGGTTACTGAGTGGAAAGAAGGTAGAAATGATTCGCTGATTCTTATCCATGCTAACGGAGAAACTGCTAAAAAAGTGAACCCAGGCAGCAATTCAGTGTAGCCTTTTTGTGTTGTAGGCAGTGCTCAAAAGTCCCCACAAAGAGCTCAGCAACACCCAGTGTTACAAAGGGTCCATCAACTCTCTTGGCCATTGGCGCTTTAATGCATCAAGGCGATGTCCTCCTAGACCAATGCTCTCCATCAAGAAAGGAGGGACCTGAGTTCCAGAAAAGGGTAGGGACAGGCCAAGGTGCTGTGCCCACTTACCTCCCCAAGCAGAGCTCCTTCTTTTTGCCATATAGAAAAGGATTAAGAAAGCAAATTCTGAACCAACAGGCTCCAGTTTGGATACTGGCATGTATTGAAAGAGAGTTGGCCAGGATTGACCAGGAGGGGTGGGGAGGTACCCCTGGTCAGCACAGCTGCTGGGGTTGGGGAGAGGCTGTTCTGGTCAAAGGGGAAAGGCCAGTGGCACTGACCAGGCCTGAGAAGCATGGCCTGGAATCTACCTGCCTAGCATAACTATCTTGATAAAAGCAACTGTCCCTTTCTTTCCCCAGAGAAATGCACAGAGGTGCACACACACTTTTAATTTTGCATTTGATTTTGGGAAATTCGCTGAATCTCTGCAGCCCATCGGTCTTGGTTATAAAACCCTGAGCTAATCATTAAGAACCAAACATTGTGTAATCCACATATCCCAAGTATTTGGTGAATTTATTTGGCCCAATCAGTTGACCCAGTAACTCCATGAAGCAGGTGCTATAAAGACCGTGAACTATTCTTAGACCTGCTAATTTCCCATCATGAAGCATCATGCCAACTTTATGAGCAAGAACTTTGGAGTCAGGAAGCCTGGGTTCAAATCCTTACTATGCCACTTACCTGCAGGATGATCTTGGGCAAGTTACTCAGCCTGCCTTAGCCTTAGTTTCCCTATATGTGCTTGGCATACAGGTAAACTATAACAAATGCTCAGTGAATGTTGTTCACTACTTTATTACTTCATGAGCTCAGCCAACCACTATAGTGGCTTGAAGGCAAAGATTCCACTAAAGGGTGACCTTCACCCACCCTTGAGTGGATGGCTACAAAAGGGACCCCAGAAATCATCTAGTTTGAAGGTCAAGGTGGGAAAGAATGGGCCAGCATCTCACAGCGGGTCACATACAGAGCTGGGGGTAGGACCCAGGCTTCTCAACCCCAGTCTAACAGATTCCACCCCTGCCCACTGCCTGTCTTCATGGATAAGCCATCCAACCTAGTATGAGAAAGGTTCTCAGCTTGCCTGTGTCCTCTCGCCAGTCATCCTGAGTCGTGGTTTCCAAAAAAAGTATCTCTTAAGAAGCTTTCAGGGGGGCTGAGGCTTGAGAGAACTTCACTGTCTCAAACATGGGGTTTTTAAAAATTTGTTTCTTTTTAGAATTAAGAACAAATGCTGAACTCCAGGAGTTCAATGGGCAAAGATATAAATAGTCTTGGCTACAGCTTGGCAATAAACATGTGGAAAAATGTGCAGTCTTGCCAGATAGCCCAGCATTGCAAATTGAAACAAGATAACCTTTTTTTGCTTATAAAATTTGCAGATTGCCATGAAAGTGATAACACTGAGCTCTGGCAAGGGCAAAGTGAGATGGGCACTCTCAAACATTACCGTGGGAGGATAAATTGCTTTCAGGAGACAATTTAGCAAATTGTATTAAAGCCTTAAAAAATCTCTCCTCAGAAAATCAGCAGAAATGCCAAAAAAGCTTTATGCACAAAGCTGCTCATCTCAGAATTATTTGTAATAGTTAAAAAAAAATAGAGAAGCTATCTAATTATCTAAAAATAAGAGAATGATTAAATAAACTCTAGGAGAGCCACTCAGTAGAGGATTCAAGAGCTATTTAAAACAATGTTTATAAAAATGTATAATAACATCGAAGAAATGCTTATACTCTTCAATTTTTAGAAATCAGAATACCGACTGGTATGCAGAGTACCATATAATCACATTACGTTAAAACATCACTACATACAAATGTGACATGAGAAAAAACCGTATCAAAGCATTAACACTTTCCAGGTGTTCAATGATGTGCATGTATTATTTTTATAATTTAGTAAAATGTAGGTATGTATATGTTTTTTGAACCTCAAGCATAGAATTGCATAGATCATAATGGGACATGTTTTACTTTCACTCTTGAAAGTATGTACAGGCGGCCGGGCGCAGTGGCTCACGCCTGTAACCCTAGCACTTTGGGAGGCCGAGGAGGGTGGATCATCTGAGGTCAAGAGTTCGAGACCAGCCTGACCAACATGGAGAAACACCGTCTTTACTAAAAATACAAAATTAGCTGGGCACAGGCCTGTAATCCCAGCTACTCGGGAGGCTGAGGCAGGAGAATCGCTTGAACCCGGGAGGCGGAGGTTGCAGTGAGCCAAGATCGCATCATTGCACTCCAGCCTGGGGGACATGAACAAAACTTCGTCTCAAAAAAAATTTAAAAAAAAAATTATGTACAGGCAGGGCTTGGTGGCTCATGCCTGCAATTCCAGCACTTTGGGAGGCTGATGCAGGAGGATCACTTGAGCCCTGGAGTTCAAGACCAGCCTGGTCAACATAGTAAGACCTCGTCTCTACAAAAACAAAGCAGAACAAAAATCGAAAAATTAGGCAAGCATGGTGGGGCACACCTGTGGTCCCAGCTACTCAGGAGGCTGAGGTGGGAGTATCACTTGAACTGGGAGTTGGAGGCTGTAATGAGCTATGATCAAACCACTGCACTTCAGCCTGGGCAACAGAACGAGACCCTGTCTTTAAAAAAAAAAAAAAAATTAAAATTAAAAGATTGTAAAGAAAAGAAAATAGGTACTAAGTTATGGAAACAATGTCAGCACTGCCATCCTTCCTCCCAGTCTGTTTCCTCTCTGCCCCCAGCCCTGCCAGAGCTGCCCCAGCCTTCCCTGTGCCCCCTGTTCTGGATGGAGTTCAAAGGACACTGCTATCGATTCTTCCCTCTTAATAAGACCTGGGCTGAGGCCGACCTCTACTGTTCTGAGTTCTCTGTGGGCAGGAAGTCCGCCAAGCTGGCCTCCATCCACAGGTAAGTGGGATCCCCGGTCCCCCATAGTTCAACTAAGCACCTCTTTGGGAAATGGGATGGAAAATGGTATTTCCAACTGGCATTTCTCTTTGGTAATTGAAACTATTTGAAAGAAGTGGAGATGGAGTCTTGCTCTGTTGCCCAGGCCACTCTCAAACTCCTGAGCTCAAGTGATTCTCCCCGCTCACCCTCCCAGAGTACTGGGATTATAGGCATAAGCCGCAGTGCCTGGCCAATTGAAGCTACTTTTTAATCCAACCCAATTTCTCGCTGAAACCATCCTTGGCTATAGAAGGCAAAGCATTCAGCAGGGGTAGCAAACAGCATGCTGGAAGATCCACCTTTATAAGTGTCAATCTTGTGCTGTCCTCTGCTCTGTATCCTGTGATACAACTGATATACTACATATATAAAGAATATGATGTAAGGAATATAAGAAATCATAACTGACACTTATTTGCTACATGTTTTATGTACATCATCACATTAAAGCTCCCTCAAACTATATCACATAGGTATCTTCATTTTACAGATTAGAAAGGTGAGGCTCGGAAAAGGTAAGTAACTTGCTCAACATGACACCGCTCTTAAGTGGGAGAAACCAGTTTTGAACGTGTGGAGTCAGATTCCATAGCCCACCCTCCAAGGCCTCCTTCCACATTCCTCTGTCTCCGAAGCCCCAGCCACACTGACCATCTCAGAGTTCTCCAATTTGGTCCAGCTCTTTTACTTCTGCATACTCTTGGGCATTCTATTCCCCCTGCTGGGAATTCCATCCCTATCTTCTCCAGGTAAATACCTCCTCTGTAGTCCCAGCTACTTGGTAGTCTAGGGCGGGAGGATCACTTGAGCCCAGGAGGTTGAGGCTGCAGTGAGCCATGTTCATGCCACTGCACTCCAGTCTAGGTGACAGAGCGAGATCCTATCTCAAAAAAAAAAAAAAAAAAAAAAAGAGAAGGGGTTCTTTATCTTAGTTTCCAAATGCATCTTGAATCCACACATCTCTTCCTCCAACAGATGTGTTGAACAACCAGTGCATTTTCAGTGGGGCTGAGAAATATACTGAGACAGTCAGGGTCCAACCAGGAAAACCAGAACCACTACATGTATCTAAAACAGATAATACAGGCAAGTGCTGGAAGCTCAGAACTTAAAAGGGAGTAGTGAGGCAAACTAGAGACACATAGGAGCAGAAAGCCAATTCCATGCCTCAGTTGGAGGGCAGGCCAGTCCTATGGGTGCTGGAGCCACGGAGGAGAGGCAGCCTCTGCCAGAGACTCCCAAGCAGAGGGGGAAAGAAATACTCTAGTTTCTCCCTCCTACCCATCTGCCAATGACTCGTAAGTGCCTTCCATTAACTGAAAGCCAGCTAACATGGAGTCCTATGAAAGACATTCTTCAGGGATGAAATCTGCTATGAGAGCACAGCACAGTACAGAGTTGGCACCTGTAAGGACAGAAGACGTCAATTCTCAAAGAATTCCTAGCCTGCAGAGGAAAATGAGATCTATGCAATAAAAAGCGAACGCAGAAGTGATTTCAAATCAAGGCTTTTCTCTAGACAGCCCTCGTTGAAATTGCAACCTCAATTGCATCAGAAAGACCTTGAACATGGAGAATCAAACTAACCAGCCAGCCCCTGGGGGAAGAGGAACTTTGGGCTACAGGTGGTCAAGCATTGGATAGAAGATATTCATGGAAGCTTTCCTGGAAGTACTGGTCCTGGATCAGGATCTTGAAAGATTGGGAAGCTTAGGGAATGAGGGCAGCAGATGTTCCAAATGAAGAAAGCCGTGGGGGACCGTATGAGCATTGATTAAGGGCATTAGAGTCAGGCAGTTCCAGATTCTAGTCCCAGCTCCATCACTTCCTACCTGCACGATCTTTTTTTTTTTTTTTTTTTTTTTTTTTGAGACGGAGTCTTGCTCTGTCGCCCAGGCTGGAGTGCAGTGGCCGGATCTCAGCTCACTGCAAGCTCCGCCTCCCGGGTTCACGCCACTCTCGTGCCTCAGCCTCCGGAGTAGCTGGGACTACAGGCGCCCGCCACCTCGCCCGGCTAGTTTTTTGTATTTTTTTAGTAGAGACGGGGTTTCACCGTGTTAGCCAGGATGGTCTCGATCTCTTAGACCTCGTGATCCACCCGTCTCGGCCTCCCAAAGTGCTGGGATTACAGGCTTGAGCCACCGCGCCCGGCACCTGCACGATCTTGACCAAATCACTTAAACTCTAAGCCAAAGAATTCTCAACTTGGAAATAGCAATAATCACACTGATCTTTTAAAGTTGTGAGGCATTAAAGGTGATCATGCATCTAAAGTCTTTATACAGCTTTTGGATAACTCTATGCCCAGCAGTAGGAGTCGTTATTATTTTTATTAATTACAATACATTACAATTCTGCCTCAAGGAGGCCAGTTTTTTTTTTTAACGTTCCATATCAGTTCATCTTTCTGAGAGTGAGCAAGGCTTGTCTCACTCTTCCTCTTTCCTTCCTCTCTTTTGCCTTTCCTTTCCCCCAAGAGTATATGTCAAGTAACTCCCTGCATGTGACTGGCTGGAGCACTGTGTTAAGACAAATTCTGAGTGCCAGAATTCTAAGCGTTTCTAATCTGGAATTAATTGGCAATCAATTCCACTTCACTAACACAAAACTAAAGAGAATAAATATGGGTGCTTTGATTTACTACCAATGCCTCAAGAAAAAAGAAACCTTCTAATGGTGGGTATTTTAGATTAGGTGGCAGTCTTCAGAGAGCAGTCATTTGGAAGAAGCTGACGGGAGCAGATACACTTTATGGCAACATAAAGGGTACCTCAACATAGTCCTGTTTTGAAGTGAATTATTGAAGTTGATGAGAGAAGATACACGTTGTTGGAACACAAAAGGTACATCAACATGGCCCTGTTTTGAAGTGAAGTATTAGATCTATGGCTGGTTATTATCATTCTGTATTGACTTCTTTGACATACTAAAGTTCACCTTTTAGTGGCATGTGGAAGCCAATAGTGGGAATCATTTGTTCTGTGGGATCTGTCATCTGGATCTGTGAACGATATGTGAAGTGTGCCTACCAGTTGTCCATTTGCTGTCACATCCCTTGCCCGTTCTTCTAACCTCTACAAACTACCTTTTTCAGGCTCATTGATATGGGCCCTGGACGAGAAGTTGTCTTGGCTTTCCTTCAGCATCTTCAATGCAGCAGCTCCAAGTTTTGTGTCCAGACATGGCTACAACCTAAGGAGAAAGGGCAGTGCTAGAAATTTGGGTCTTCTCTGCATACCTCCCTCCTTTCATCATGGAGAAAAATATTTCCAAGATGTCCCCACAAACATTGCCTTAAATCTAACTGGCCATGCTTGGTCATATGGCCAGTGTTAGCTGCAAAGGGAGCTGGGAAAATAAAAGTTGGCTTTTCCGGGTCATAATGAAGGCAATGGGGTAAGGGATTAGGAATGGCTATGGGATAGACAACCAGTAGTATCTGCCCCAGTGCCTGTTTGTTGTGAGAATGAAATTAAAATTAGTTCACGCACATAAAACACTCAGCACAGTACCTGGCGTGAAGTCAATGCTCAAGAAACATTTTAATGATAGGATGAAAATAATTATGTGTTCATTTCTCTACTTCTCTGTCTGTTTATCAATCTATCTATTCATCTATCCATCCATGTATTCATTCATCCACCCACCCATCCACCTATCCACCTACCCATTCATCCGTTTGTCTATCTATCCATTCATCCATCCATTCATTCATCAATCTATCCATCCATCTCTACTTCTTTGTCGTTTTTGGCAGTGGACTGTCACCAGGGTCCTCCACTGATTGCTTTAGATGGGTGAATTATTTGATAAGCTCTTTGAAACAGAGGATAAGAATCCCCTCAAAAGACACTCATGACTTATAAGGATGGTGGGTTGTTAACTGAGGGGCCTGGTTTTGCTAAGTGGGCAATGCAAATTGAAGCCTAGAACTGAGTTTCCCAGGAAAACAGAGATTTTGGAGATGGTATGTGAAAAAAGACTAGGAGAGAAGGGGATATATTATAAAAGGGCAGTGTAAGGAGGGTCTTTGAGAGAGAACAGAAATGACTAGTGGCAACTTTTATTTATTTATGTAATGTGTACAATGCAATATAAACTCCTTTCATTGTCTCTTCAAGATATCTTCAATATAATCCACTTCATTTGCTAGTGTTTTTGAGACGGAATTAAATTTTAAGGGATGGGTAGCAGTACTGAGTCCTTCTTTGAACTGGCATAGGTCAAATCCAGAGATGCCCATGTAGGACCGGCCACATATGGGTGACTTAATGAAAAATGAAGGCCAAATTGGATTATATCATCTATTTACTTTGGTCCAGGAAGGTAAACAAGGATTGCTTTCAATTTTTGACTCTATTCTATGAAAAGAGGCAATGAGGAACTAGCTACTATGTTTCTTAAATTCACAGCTGGGAGGAGAATGTCTTTGTGTATGACCTCGTGAACAGCTGTGTTCCTGGCATTCCAGCTGACGTCTGGACAGGCCTTCATGATCATAGACAGGTGAGAAAGCAATGGCCATTGGGCCCCCTTGGAAGCTCCAACCAGAATTCTATTTTGATTTAATAAGCTTTTCACATTGGTGCCAGGTCACAGCTATGCACACAGCACACAGAGAGAAATCAGACACCAAGACGCCACAGTTAGAGCATGACCAATTTGTGAAAGACATTTAATGATGTCCTACTAAATGATGGGAACAGATAGCATGGTCAAAGAAAACCTGTTTGGCTAGGATTCTCTTAAAAAAAATAAAAGACACTAGGCGGAACGTGGTGGCTCACACCTGTAATCCCAGCACTTTGGGAGGCCGAGATGGGCAGATCAAGAGGTCAAGAGTTCAAGACCAGCCTGGCCAACATGGTGAAACCCTGCATCTACTAAAAATACAAAAATTAGCTGGACACGCAGTGGTGGGCTCCTGTAATCCCAGCTACTCAGGAGGCTGAGGCAGGAGAATTGCTTGAGCCCAGGAGGCAGAGGTTGCAGTGAGCCGAGATCGTGCCACTGCACTCCAGCCTGGGTGACAGAGCAAGATTCCACCTTGGGGGAAAAAAAAAAGACACAAAAACGTGATTAGATGTGCAACAGATGTTGGAGGGGAAATATTTGTGAACGAAAAGGAGGAAGGAGGTATAAGTAGGCAGGGAAGGACGTCGGACAACACTGTGGGTCTAAGACATGTGAAAGGAGATCATAGAGAAAGGACTGGGTAGGGAGAGCCTCAGGTCACAGCACAGTGCTGAGAAAGTCTTGGCTAGGCCAGTGGGGAGTCCCCAAGCAAAGATGCCCAAGAGTGGAATCCTGCGCTGGGCAGGAATGCGCCAGCACCATTACCCCGACATGCTGAGTCACTCACTGGGAACAGCCTGGAGGAAGCATGTCTCACTGTGAATGCAATGGTAGCTCCAAAGAGGCAGAGGCATGTCCTTCTCACAAACAAGGCAGCGAATCCAAGGTGGCAGGAGAGCTGGAGCTGTCCATCAACTCTGCTTTCTGCTGGTCCTCCTGAAGGTGAGCTGGGCAATGTACTTCTGTGGCTGCCACAGCCTTCCTGGGTAAGAGATATTTAAGTCAGTGTCTAATGGGTAAATAGGAGTTAGCCAGAGATAGTATATTCCAGGTAAAGGGAACAGCATGGGTCAACATCCTAAGGAAGGGGAGGTCGTGGCACATTCAAGCAAGTTAATTAAGGAAGACCATTGTGGTTAGAGCACAGAGTGGGGTAGGGGTGGGTGTATAATAAGGCTGAAGAGAGTAACTTGAACCCTCTGCAATGTCATAGCAAACTCCACCTGGAGATTTTTGTCCTCAAACTTTTCCTGGGCAAACTGCATACTGAGTCTGTATTTTGCATGCATACTTCTTGCGTTGCTCAGGGCACTATAGGGAATAAGGTTCCAGTGCCAGTTCCTGTTCTGCCGCTTACTGGCTGGTAGGTGACTTTACACAAATTAAAAATAAACCTCTCTGGGCCTCAGTTTTTGTGTCTGTAAAATGGGGATGAAAATAACAGTGCCTTGTGAAAAGAAAAACAAGTGAGCTAATGTATGTAAAGAGCTTACCGTGGTGCTTAGCATACTAAAATAACTCATTAAGGATGATGAAAATTGCTGTTAAAGTAGCAGAAGTAACAGTGTGGTCAGACCTAACATTTTTTTTTTCTCGAGATGGAGTCTCGCGGTCAGACCTAACTTTTTTTTTCTTGAGACGGAGTCTCGCTCTGTTGCCCAGCTGGAGTGCAGTGGCACAATCTCGGCTCACTGCAAGCTCTACCTCCTGGGTTCACGCCATTCTCCTGCCTCAGCCTCCCGAGTAACTGGGACTACAGGCGCCTGCCACCAAGCCTGGCTAATTTTTTGTATTTTTAGTAGAGACGGGGTTTCACCATGTTAGCCAGGATGGTCTCGATCTTCTGACCTTGTGATCCACCTGCCTCGGCCACCCAAAGTGCTGGGATTACAGGAGTGAGCCACCGCACTCCTGTCTTTTTTCTTGAGACAGGGTCTTGCTCTGTTGCTCAGGCTGGAGAGCAGTGGTGCAATCACAGCTCACCACAACCTTGAACTCCTGGGCTAAAGCAATCTGCCCAATCTAGGCTCCAGAGTAGCTAGTACTACAGGCAGGAGCCACCACACCTGGATTTTTTGTTTTAATTTTTGGTAGAGACAGGGTCCCGCTATGTTGCCCAGGATTGTCTCCAACTTCTGGCTCCAAGTGATCCTCCCACCTCAGCCTCACAAAGTGCTGAGATTACAGGCATAAGCTATCATGCCTGGTGATGTTTTAAATCAATAGACTTCAACTGGCCAGAACACATAGAGAAGTTATAATTTTAAAAACACTAAAATGTCCATTTATAATAGCAACTCTAAAATTGGATTATAACTACATTAAATGAGAGTTAAAGAAACTTGTATTAAAAGACCTAATAATAATAATAACAAAAAATACAGGAAAATTCCTTTTTTTCTTCTTTTCAGAGCTAGGCACCATGTGTCAGGCATTGTACTAAGTCCTTCACGTGCTTTAATTTGTTCAACCCTCACAACAACTCTCTAAAGGATATATTAATTCCACCATACAGATGTGGAAACTGGGGCTCAGAGAGGTTAAGTAACTTGCCCAGGTTGCAGAGCTAGGCAGCGGGTGGACATAGGACCACAAGCTCTAGTCTCTCTCTCAGAAGTAGCATGCTGTTCCCATTATATGACGTGAGCTCTGTAATCATCAGTGCTTTGGGGTTACTTTTCTTAAAACTTAAATAAATGGAGAAATGGCTCTTGTTCCTGGACAAGTTGCAAAGATGTAGTTCTTTCCACAGTTAATTTGCACATTTATTGCAACACCAATCAAATTCCCAACAGGACTTTTCTTGCAATTGGACAGAGCAGTTCCACCTTAGGCAAGAAAAACACGGACTATTTAGACAAAAAGAAAACAGATGGAGAGTGACTCCCATCCACTGGCAAAGTGTAGTAGTTAGGGGTCTTGGGTACTTGACTCAGATAGACCTGGGTTTGATTCCCAGCACTAATACTTTATTTGCTGTATGAATTTGAATAGGCCAATCTGAGTCTCAGTTTTCCTATCTGTAAAATGGGGCTGATGATGCCTGCTTTTCAGAATGGTGAGGATAAAACGAGTAAAGTGCCTGGCATGGCACATAATAAGCCCTCAACAAATGGCAGCTAGTAATAGTAGTAATAAGAGCAGTAGTATCAGATTGGTAGCAGTAGTATCAGATAGCAGTAGCCTCAGTGAGGACATCTGTGCAGAGGTGTTAAAAATTGAGTTGCTGAGATGTCTGAGCTGGAGCTGGCTGGCTCAAATGCCTGATCTTCTTCTCCATGGAACCCTCCCAGGAAGGGCAGTTCGAATGGACTGATGGCTCATCGTATGACTACAGCTACTGGGATGGCAGCCAGCCAGATGATGGTGTCCACGCGGACCCAGAAGAAGAAGACTGCGTTCAGATATGGTACAGGCCTACCAGTGGTGGGTACCCCTGAGACCAAGGCTCTTGCAGGGGTGCTTGGGAGGCATCACAGGGCCTGAGACTGGCAAATTGTTCAGTACCTTGAAGACCAGTTGAGGTCACTAGGGTGTTGCGGGCATGGCCATTCTCCACAGTGGATATGCTTTAAACAACATTAAATGGGGTTTGGTTGACACCTAGACTCCAACTTGGATGAGAAGACATTATAAATAGAAGCATGGGGGGAAAAAGACTTGCATAGAGAGTAGTCAAGGGGTGGTGCTTCCATGTCAGCTCACCAACACACCAAAGTGCAAGCCCCTTCCCCAGGCTTCTGCTACTGAATATTAGAAGCAAGCCACACCTGGGGTGGCATGAAGGTGTACATAGTGACAAGAGTATAGACCTGGATTCAAATTCTGGCCTCGTTGCTTTCTAGCTCTGTGTCCTTGCAAAGAATTACTTATCCTCTCTGAGATGGTTTCTTCTTCTATAAAATAGGCTTAATAATTTGTCCTACTTACAGGACTGCTGTGTAGATTAAAGGAGGCACAGTTGATATAGCACTGTGGCAAGACCATGGACTTGGGAGTTGACTGCCCTTGTATGAACCCCCGCTCCACCCTTAATGTGTAGCCCAAAGAGAATGCCTTAACCTCTTGGTGCCTCAGATTCTTCATCTTCAAAATGTGGCTAATGATACTTAACTCACAGGTTAATGTGAATAAAAAAAGAAGATAGTGTTCATAGAACAGCTGCCATGCTCAGTATTCGGTATTAGCAATCACCAGCATCATGATGAATCATCACTTTCATACCAGTCTTAATAGAAACAATATTCCCATTTTGCCGATGAGGAAAATGAGGCTCAGAGAAGTTCAGCAACTTGTTCAAGGTCACACAGCAAGCTAAGTAGTAAAGCTGGGTTTCAAACCTAGATCTACAGAGCTCCAGACCCAGACACTTAATTGTTATTCCCTCTTTGCTCTTTTTTCTTTTCCTAATTAGGGGAGGGAGGTAGAGAACAGCTTATTTTCCTGGGAGCCCTCCCGGAGCCTGGTAGCCAGAGCTGGGCCAAGCCTCTGGCTGAAGTTCGTCCTCCCATCCAAGGTGACAAGCCGGGATCAGCTTTATGCAAGAGTAAGGCTGGACACCAGGCTTGTCAAGTATCAGCAAGAAAGGGCTGCCAGTGTAGACACGAGGCCTACTGGGGAGGGCTTTTACTTCAGAGGAGTGGTGGGATTATTTTATCTTGGCGGATGGATTTTCACCCAGACTCTCTGCTTCTTTCCCTCACAGCTCTGAGATCGTGGAATGATAACATCTGCAGCCGGAAGTTCCCCTTTGTCTGCAAAATCCCATCTCTGACCATTCATTGATCCTGTCTCGTCCTACTGGTGTGAGGGCAACTCCAGTATCACCTTGTAGCTGTAGCCAGTGTAGAACTGACATTGAATACATGTAAAACAAACATGGGAGGTTAATCTCTTGGACAGAGATTTTAAACAAGCAGATCTTAATTATACAGGGTGGTCGCTTGGCCAAGTGACGGGAAAGCCAGCTCAAATTGGCTTAATTAATTTTTTTAAGTTTTTTGTTTTTTTTTTTGTTTAATTGACCCAAGTAACAAAAGTCCAGGGGTTGTTCTGATTCAGAGTTGAATCTCACTGGCCTGGCTCAGGTCACATGCCCACCCTGAGGCAATCACTTTGGCATATGCTAAGTGACTAGCTCCTGCTTAGCTGCACTTCTTTGGAAAAAATGGGGTGGGAGTCACATCATCAGAGGGGCTGGGAGTGGGGGAAAATGGGAGGGGGTGTTGGTCAAAGGATACAAACTTTTGGAAACAAGATTAATAAGTTTGGGAGACTTACTGTACAGTGTGGTGACTATAGTTAATAATAATGTATTGTATTCCTGAAATTTGCTAAGAGGGTATTTTTTTTTTTTTTTTTGAGACAGGGTCTCACTCAGTTGCCCAGGCTGAAGTGCAGTGATGCAGTCACAGCTCACTGCAGCCTCAACCTCCCGGGCTCAGGTGATCTTCCCACCTCCAGTCCCTGGAGTAGCTGGGACTACAGGGCGCTATAGGCGCGTGTCACCACATCTGGCTAACATTTGTATTTTTTTAAAATAGAGAAGAGGTTTCATCATGTCGTCCAAGCTGGTTTCAAACTCCTGGGCACAAGGGATCCACCCACCTCTGCCTCCCAAAGTGTTGGGATTACAGGCATGAGCCACTGCGCCCAGCCAAGAATACATCTTAAATATTCCCACCACCACATGGGCTCAAAGATGAGGCTGGTTCTTCAAAGGAAAACAAAAATATTACCAAACTCATAAATTGCTGGTGGGAAGGTAAAATAGTGAAGCCACTGCAGAAAAGTTTGTCAGTTCCTCAAAAAGTTAAACATAGAATTACATCTGATCCAGCAATTCCACTCCTAGATCTAGACCTGAGAGAACTGGAAACAGGTATTTAAATATAAGTGGTTGGCTGGGTGTAGTGGCTCATGCCTGTAATCCCAGCACTTTGGGAGGCTGAGGAGGGAGGATCACTTGAGCCCAGGAGTTGAAGACCAGCCTGGGCAGCATAGTAAGGCCCCATCTCCATAATAATTTTTTTTTTTTTAATTAGCTAAGCATGGTAAAGCACATCTGTAGTCCCAGCTATTTGGGAGGCTAAGATGGGAGGATCACTTGAGCCTAGCATATCAAGGCTGCAATGAACCATGACTGTGTGACTGCACTCCAGCCTGGGTGACAGAGCAAGACCCTGTCTCAAAAAACAAAAACAAAAAAATACGATCACAGCAGCATTATTGATAAAAACAAAAAAAAATGAAGACAACCCAAGTGTTCACCAACAGATGAATGACTAAACAAATGTGGTCTATTCATAGGGTGGAATATTATTCAAGCATGAAAAGGAGGGAAGTAACCATAGATACTACAACCTGAATGAACCTGAAAAACATTATGCTGCCAATCACAAAAGACCACATGTTGTATGATTCCATATATATGAAATATCCAGAATAGGCAAGTCTGTAGAGACAGAAAGTGGATTAGTGGTTGCCAGGGAATGTGTGGAGGGGGAATAGAAAGTGAATGCTAATAAGTATGGGATTTCTTTGTGGGGTGACCAAAATTCTCTGCAATTAGACAGTGGTAATCATTGCACAATATTGTAAATGTACAAGAAGCCACTGAACTGTTTTAAAATAATAGTTAAAATGATACATTTTACATTATATGAATTTTTTTGTTTTATTTTTTGGAGACAGGGTCTCACTCTGTTGCCCCGTCTAGAGTGCAGTGATGCAATCACCTGTCACTGCAGCCTCGACCTCTCAACTCAAGTGATCCTCCTGCCTCAGCCTCCCAAGTAGCTGGGACTACAAGAGCACACCACCTCTCCCAGCTAGGTTTTCGTATTTTTTTTTTTTTAGAGACAGGGTTTCCCCATGTTGTCCAAGCTGGTGTCAAACTCCTGAGCTCAAGTGATCTGCCTGCCTCAGCCTCCCAAAGTGCTAGGACTACAGGCGTGAGCCACTATGCCTGGCCCATTACATGAATTTTATCTCAATTTTTAAAAATGTTACCAGAAGACAGAATGCATGCCAGGCAGGAAAAACAATAGATATTTATTAGCAGAAAGGACATTGAACAGAGAGGCAGGAGGCCTTAGTTCCATTTCCAATTCTATGAGCCTTGTTTCTGCTTTGGTATGGACTGGGGAACCTAAAAATCTGGGCCCTCCAGGACCAAAAAGGAAGCACAGAGAGATTAAAATACACACACAAAAAAATCAGTTGGCATTTGGTAAATTGTGCGGCTTCCCAGATTTTTGCAGGAATATTCTTCTGAAAAGGATGTTAAAATGGGACTTTCCTATTGCTTCAGAATTGGTCCTGGGACCTACAGCTGAAAGCAACAGGTACTAATTACCTCTCATTCTGAAGAGAGCAATGAACACATGAGACCATTCAACTACCCTTAGAGCTTATGTAATGGTTTGCAGACCGGGCCTTACTATAATCGACCACATGAGTAGAGAAAGACAAACAGTGGGATCCTTGGTCTTGTGGGGAACACAGCGCCCACAGTGAAAAAGGATTTTTACCTTTTCTTCCTATGAAAGTAGGAGGGGTTGCTTTCTCTCCATCTACGGTGTCAAGTGAGCAGAGCTTTAAGAAATTGCTCATACAGATTGGGGTGTCTCTAAGAAAGATGCACTGGCTTCTCACTCCCCAGCAAAACGCTGGCTATGCTGTTAAAAATCCTGCCCTCCCCAGTACTACACGGGAGAGGAAATGGGTCAGAGACTTCTCAGGAATGCTTAATGCACCCAGATATGGTGGCTCATGCGTGTAATCCCAACACTTTGGGACGCCAACATAGGAGGATCACTTGAACCCAGGAGTACGAGTACATAGTGAGACCCCACCTCTAAACAGAAAATAAAAATTAGCCAGGTGTGATGGCGTACACCTGTAGTCCCAGCTACTCTAGAGGCTGAGGTGGGAGGATTGCTTTACCCCAGTAGGTCGAGGCTGTAGTGAGCTGTGATCATGCCACTGCATTCTATCCCGGGTCACAGAGTGAGATCCTATCTCATTTTTTTTTTAAAGGATGCTTTATGCATTTATCCCTCACAATTTAGCAGTGTAAGGAGGAAAACTTTTCCTCTATCCTCTTATGTTCCTTTCTGGAGGCCTGTGAATCAAACTGTCAAAAGACAGATTAACAGAAGAACAGGCATAAGAGTTGTGTAGATGTTTTTACATGGAGAGGGACTTCGTAGAAAAGAAGTGAAAACCTAAAGAGGTAGTTAGACTTGGGGGCTTATCTACCATTTTAACAAAGGGGGATAAGTCGTGGAGAAGTGACTAGACAAAGGAAAAGAGGGTTGGCTTTCTAGAGGCAGCAAATTGTGGGAAGGTGACTAGGAAATGGATGGTAGATTAAAATTGTTTAGTAAGGTTTGTTATGTAGACTCAAGTGATCTCCAGGGTCATTCACCTCTTCCTGGTACAGGAGAGGGGACCACCTTTACAAATGGAAATTTATGTTACATTTACAAAGGGAAATTTATGCTCTGCTTTTAGGCAAATGTGGAGTCTTAATTAGGGAAAAGGAGTCAGGCTGGTAGGACCAAGGGAAAGCAAAAAAAGAAAGCTGATTAACTATAAGTCTGCCTCTCCTCATGGTCCAGGACACAGCTTTCCTGCACAAAAAAGCTCACAATCTTCCTGTACCCAGCACTCACCAGACACCTGCAAGTTAGCTCACTGCAACCCTGGCATTATCAGTGCTGCACGTAGCACTCTTCAGCACAAGCACCATTCTATAACATCCCCAGCAAGCCTTTGTTTCCTTGCAGACAGCTCCTTCTCTGCTGTGCAGCCCGTTGCAACCTTGCAACATACTTTCATAGTTTCTCTAATAAATCTGCCTTTCTTTACCTACAACTGTCTTGGTGAATTCTTCTTACCCCTGCACCACTGGCCCCAGATAGTTGCCAATCACCTGTGACAGCAATAGGGGGAGGACAGAGAGCTCTTCTTTTGTCTGCCATTTATTTTTATTTTTTGTAGAGATGAAGTCTCACTATGTTGCCCAGGCTGTTATCAAACTTCCAGCCTCAAGGGATTCTCTCGCCTTGGCCTCACAAAGTGCTGGGATTACAGGTGTGAGCCACTGCACCTGGCCTGGCATTTCTTGATTGTCTTTAACTCAAAACAGTCCTGATGCCAAAGTGGCATATTTTGGGATATCATATTCTGCTCCCTCTTAGGGGCATCCATGAACAGATTCTGATGCCTACTGGGACCCCAAGTTAGGAAGCTTCTTGTAATTTCCCAAAGCAGAGAGGGGAAAGAGGCAGTGACAAGTGGGCCTGGAAAGAAAAGGATGGACACATGAGCCTGGATGGTTCAGAAAAGGACGTTAGTGGCTCTCCCTGGCTCCACGAGAAGAAGCAGAGAAGTAGAGTTGCTGCTCTGTGCCTCAGCTGCCCTATCTGTAAAATGAGGACAGTAAGTACGTACCTCATCAAGGTCAGAATTCAATGAAATAATATATGTGGAGGCTTTGAACAATGCCTGCACATAGAGCTATGTAAGTTAGGTATTATTCTTACTGTATTGGTTGGCAAGTGCTACAAAAGTGCCATAGAACAAGCCACCCCAAAACTCAGTGGCTGAAAACAACCATTGTTTATTATAACACATGCATCTCTGTGGGTCAGCTGGGATTTGGATGACCTATGCTGGGCTCTTCTGGGCAGCTCTGAGACTCATTGCAAATCTCAAGGATAGCCAGGGTGCCTCTGCTTCATCATGTGTCGGGGGTGCCAACCTCGGTCTTGGGCTGGCATTACAAACTGCCTTAATTAGAAGGTTAACTGCCTTTGAAGTTCAGCAATCTGAGTTCTGAGCTTGTGTTGTGCCGGACCCCTAATGACTCCAACAGGGGTGGCACCATGTCCGAAAGGCCAAAGAAGAGACCCAGAGCCAGTGAAGGAGGCATAGCATTTATTGGGACTTACATACAGGGTGGTCTAGAAGTGTCAAGCTGAACAGGACAAACACTATCACCATCCTTGAAGGGGGATCTGGGTGGTGCATCTCCATGTTACCACATCCGGAATCAAAAAGACATGAATTCAAATGCCACCGCTGACACTTATTGTGTGAGCTCACAGAAGTGGCTTAACCTCTCTGAGTTTTGGTTTCCTCTGTAAAATGGAGACACGGTCCCTTCCAGCCCTGACTGTGATTTATCTGGCAGCTTTGGGACATGAGGAGCTCTGCATAGGTGACTTTTTCAGAAAACTAAAATTTATTCCTTGAGCATTACAAATATCTCTATTTTTACATTTTGGATGGAAATCTTTCTAAACCATGTTACGCATCTCCCTGCCTCCTTAAACAGAAGATCTTCAAGGAGATTCACCTTTTCTTGATTCAGGGTAATATGCGCTGCATCTGCTTCAGGCATTTTTGTCTTCTGTCATATCTGGGTGCCACTGTGCCAGTCTCTGACAGCCCACAGGACTCACAGCCTTTCCTAGATTGTGGCTTCTGGGCCGCTGGGGGCAGGCAAGCTAGGCAACCAAACCTGAGAACAACCCCAGACAGAGAGAGAGAGAAGGAGGAGGAGAGGGGAAGAAGGAGGAGGAGGGGAAGAAGGGAGAAGAAGGAGGAGGGGATGAGTGGAGGGGGAGGAGGAGAGGAGAGGAGAGGAAGAGGAGAAGGGGGAAGAAGGGAGAGGAAGGAGGAGAAGGTGAGGGGAGCGGGAAGGAGAAGGGGAAGGAAGGAGGAAGGGTTGGGGGGGAGGGGGAAAAGGAGGAGGGGAAGGGGAGAGGGGAGGAGGGGAGGAAGGAAAGGAAAGAAGGGAGGAGAGAGAAAATAGATGATAGGTGACAGATTAATAGTAAATGATAGATAAATGATGGATGGATAAATGAAGATGATAGATATTGTTAGAGATAGGTGATAGGTAGATAATAGTTTATAGGATATGGTAGCCATATATCTGTCTATATATCATATCTATATGATAGTCCTTGGATAGTCATATATGGATAGATAATATATAGTCTCTCCCTTAGGGAAAATAGACGGATAGATGGATAGGCAGGTGATCATGACTATAAATATATGTCACCTATACAACTATTGTAAACAAAGCATAGGACCACATTGTGTGGATGCATCGAAGGATTTAACTATTCTTGTATTGTTAGCTATTTAGATTGCATCTAATTTTTCACTGTTACAAATAACACAGTGATAGGCATCTCTGTACACAAATTCAATTATATTCTCGGGGATATATTCCTAGAAGTGGCATTGGTAGTTCAAAATGTATGCACATTTTAAAACTAGAATTGCTTTTTATTATAAAAATAATGCAGGTGGCATTTGGAGGTAATGAATATGTTTATCACCTTGATTGTGGTAATGGCATCATGGCTGTATGTATGTGTCCAAACTCACCAAATTGTATATGCCTTCAACACTTGGTTTTTAAAATATACAGTCATACCTCAATAAAGCTGATTTTTAAAAATGCATGTGGACTACAAAAAAAGGGAGGGCTGTGTGTGTGTGTGTGTGTGTGTGTGTGTGTCTTCTACAATCCCACCAGCCAGAGATAACCACTACTGACCACAGTAGTGAACCGTTTTCCGGCCATGTATATTGTGGTGGCCATGAGAATGCACCATGCAGACCTCCTACTACCA